CTCAGTAGTGTAACTAAATACATAGTCAACACTGAAAAAGCAATAGCATTCTCATACACGAATAGGAAACTCACTGTGAGAGAAATTGTGGAAACAATGCCTTTCACGATAACATCAAAAAAATGGAAAAGTTTAGGAGTCAATATAACAAATGAAGTAAAATAACTTTACACTGCAAACTATAGTACTCTGAAAAAGGAGATCAAAGAGGCTATCAGAAAATTAAAAGATACCCCTTGTTCCTGGAGAAGAAGGACCAACATAATGAAAATGACCATACTTCCAAAAAATTTATATAGATTTAATGTAATCCCGATCAAAATACTAATAATATACCTCACAGAATTAGAGAAAAGAATCCAATGGGATCATTTGGAACCATTTTTAAGTTTTAAGAAACTTCCATATTGCTTTCCTTAATGGCTGTATTATTTAAATTCCCAGCATGGTGTGCAAGTGCTCATTTTCTCCACATGCTTGCCAGTGCTTGCTACCTTTTGCCTGTGTGTGTGTGTGTGTGTGTTCAGTGGAGTTTGAATCTAGGGCCTCGCACAAGCCAAGCAAGTGACCTACCTCCACTCAGCCATTCTCACTGCAGTGAGGTGATAATTGGTTGTAGTTTTTATTTTCACTTTCTTCATGATTAGTAATTTTGAGCATATCTTCATATATGTACTGGTCATTATGTCTTCTGTTCAGAAATGTTTCTTTAGGTCTATTCTCTATTTTTAAGCAGATTATTTGTCTTTTTGCTGTGAATCTGTGTTTCTTATATGTTTTTTATGTTAACACTTTGTCAGTTGTAAGTTTTGTAAAAGTCTCTTCCTATTCTTTAGGTTATTTCTTTGCTCTGTTGATTGTTTTGGCTGTGCAGAAGCTTCTTAGTTTGATGTGATTTCATTTGTCTGTTGTTTGCTTTTGAAAAACAAATCATGATAAGGATCTCATTTGCAAAAATTGTTGTCTGTTGTAATGTCTTGAAGTTCTTTTCCTATAAAAAACTTCTAGTTTCATGGTTTCAGGTCTTACATTTAGGTCTTTAATCTATCTTTAGGTAATATTTGTAACGGTCAAGAGAAAGAAATAGAAATTCATTCTTTTACATGTTGTTATCCAATCTTCCCAACACCATTTTTGAAAGAATCTTCTTTATCCAATACATATCCTTAGTGCCTTTCCTCAAGGTCAGTGGTTAGAGATACACAAATTTACTTGTAGGCTTCTTTTTTCTTCCTTGGTCTATGTGTCCCCCTCCCAGTATTATGGATGCAGTTAGAGACCATACTTATAAGTGAAATAAATCAGACCCACATGTGTAAACATCACATTGTCTCCCTAGTGTAAGAATGTAAAAGAATAAATAAAATCTGAAAAATAGACCTTGTGTGAAAGGGAAAGAAACTGCTCAAAAGGAAAGAGAAACTGGGATGAGGGAAAGGAGAAAAGAAAGAAAAAAGGAAGTGAAAAAAATGTGTATATAGAGATATATACACACAAGATAGCTAAGACAATTGTACTACTAATTTCTAATGGTTTATTGAAAGGAACAGTTAATGCTGAATTATTTGATCAATCTTGCATGCTTATATCTGGTAATCTGAGCAACTACTTTTAAGATAACAATATATAATGCAATAACCATTGTTAATTTCCTATCATCCTTTTTTTTTGAATTCTGTATCATTTTATTGTTTCTGTGTTGTCTTGGTTTTGTTATTTTGTTTTGTTCCTCTTTTTTTTTTTTTTTTTTTTTTTGGTTTTTTGGTTTTTCTCTGGTACCGGGAACTGAACTCACGACCTTGCGCTTGTTTTGTTCCTCTTTAAATTAAAAAAAAAAATTTAAAAATAACAAAACCAATATTGTGCTGTTTTGACTATTATAACTTTATAATACTGCATATTTTAAGTAGTGTAATGCCTTCTGTTTTGTTATTTTTGTTCAAAATGGCTTTGGGCATCTTTGGGGTGTGTATGTGTGTATGTGTTTGGTTTTATATAATTTTCACAAGTATATTGTTATTTTGTAGGGATTGCATTGAATCCATAGATTTCTTTGGATGGTATGAAGTACTGATTTTTCTAATCCATGAATAATGTGGATTAGTTTTTCTCTGTGTGTGTGCACTTCAATTTCTTTCTTCAGTATTTTCTAATTTTCACTAAAAAGATCTGCTATGTCTCATATGTGGATAACCCTATAAATCCTCATACTATCATAAGTGGAACTTTGGGAAGGTGATTATTATATACTTACAGCTAACTTTAGGAGGTGGGGCCTGATCTGAAGAGATAAATCACTGTTAGTGTGACCCAGAAGGTTATATCTCTCTTCCTGGGTCTTCCCTTGATCCAGCCTGTTCCTGTCCATGCCACCATGAGCAGCTTTTTCCACTATGCCCCTCTGCCATGCTGTCCTTGGAGCCAGCTGACTATGGACCGAAACATGAGCCAAAACAAACTTCTCCTTTGCATCGCAGGTGTCAGGTATTGTGTCTGAGACACAATATTGTGAAAAAGACACGATCTTTCACCTCTTTGAATAAATTCATTCCAAAGTATTTTTGTAGCTATTGGAAATGATATTAGTTTCTTTCTTTTTTGAGACAATTAGCTATTGATGTATATATATGTATATATGTATATATAAACACTATTAGATTTCTACATTAATTCTGTATCCCACAACTTTATTCAATTATTTTACTAATTCTACTTTTGAGGGGTGGAAGCTTAGGAGTTTTTTCTCTATAATATGCTTTAATCTAAAAACGTGACAAGTTATTTCCTCTTTTCCAATTTGTACGTTCTTCATTTCATTCTCTTCCTGACTGCACTAACACCTCTGTTATTCTTGACCCTGGACTTGCACTGTCATTTATTTATATATAGTAAGGACAAGCTATTATTTCTAAGTCATAAATCAATTACAATTTTGTGCTGGTTAACAGCTATCAGTTGCTAGACACTTCTCAAGGCCCTCTACCATCTAATTCTTTCTTCTCTCCAACAGTTTTCCAAATCTCCTTAGAATTTGTTGTATAACTTCTTGGAGACCCTTGAACTCATCATTCTCTTCTCCTTCTCACCCTCTATCATCCCTCCTCCTTCATGTCTTCCAAGAATTAATGTTCACATGTATTTCCATCTCGTCTTGTTAATGCGCTATCATACCTCTGGCCTCAGGTTATTTGTGCTCTTATTTTGGAAACGTGCCTTCCTGCCCAAGTCAAGCTTTAGTAGGTTTCACATCAATGTACTGTCACAAAATACTGCACATCATTCTGTTTGTCTGCATTCCCTGCTGCTGCCATTGGTTCTGTCAATGAGTGAAGAAATGGCATTTTCTCTATCTGAAAATGCATCCTCTTTCATTCCCTATTCTCACCTTTATCTAGCTAAGCTTCGTAATGCACTGCCTTTCAACACAGACAGCATTCTTCTGGAACATTTTCCCTGACTTCCCAGGCTACCAGATGATGCTTTTCTATCCTCTCACTGGAACGAATGAGCTTTTATAGTGAAAGTCGAGACACACCCTCCTCCTCTCAACTGTCTAAAAGCCTCACATTTTGCCAAGAGTAAGCCTACCATGCCCTACAGAAGCCACCCCATTTTCTTATTATCTCTCTGACTTCATCTTTGACTACTCTTGTGTTCCTTTAGACATGCTACCCTTTTACAGTTGGGGCGGTAGCTGGGATGCTTTTCCTAGATCCTCATGTGACTGACTTTCTTTTTTTTTCAAATCTTTCCACAAATGTCCTCTTGTTGATGAGGCCTACTAAATCATTCTATTTTTTATTCATGCATAATAGTTCTGCAGAACTGTTGCGTTTCATTTTGTCATGTTCATGCATGCATACAACATACTTTCCTCATTTCTCCCCATTACCCATTTTCCTCTTTTCTCTCCCTCCCCAGTCCCTCCTCTTTTCTAGTGGTCTCTGATAGTTTCCTTTCTATGTTTATATCATCGTTACTTTTAAATTTTAAAATTAATTTTCAAGATTTTTTTGTTTGAGAGAAGACATGTGATATTTATTTTCTGAGTCTGACTTAACACTTCACTTAGTACAATGATCTCCATTTCCATCATTTCTTCTTACAAGACGTCATTCTTCTTGTATATGTATATATGTATGGGAATGTGTGCCACATTTTCCTTATCTGCTCCCCTTTTGATGTACACCTAGGCTGTTTCTGTAGCTTAGCTATTATGAACTGTGCAGTAGGAAATATAGTAAACCAGCCTCATTTAAATTGCAATGTGCATTGCTCCTCCCCAGCTATGCACTCCTACTCCTCCTTTCTTTGCTCCTTTTTTACAGTTCTTATTAATCCTTTTGGTCCAGCCTTATAGTTTACTTATGATTATCATTTACTTTCTGTTGCTCCTTATGAGAATGTAGCTCATACGAGCAGATATTTTTCTGTTTTGTTCCTTTAAATGTTCCAAGTGCCTAAATCCGACTGCAGCTGAATAGGTGCACTTAGATGTGGATTTGAAAGGAAGAGCACTGACTGTATTCTAGTACCATCGTTTTCCTTGCCTACTTCCCGGGAAACAAACTGTGAACTTCTTCAAGTTGGGGATGTTTGCTGTTTTGTCTTTTTGTAACATTTTAACACCTTTCCTGAAAATAATGCATTTATAGTAAATGTTTACTTAAGTTGTATGTATTCACCTCGGAGCTCACCACCCCATGAGTGTGCAGAGCCAAGCTAGAATACAAAGGAGACATGTTGCTTTCTTAGTGGGAAAGCTTCCTTACAAGTTATCACAATGTCTAAAATTTCCAAAGATGAAGACTCTGCTCCGGTAGAGTGGCCGCAAAGGCTAAGAATTCACCGTTGTACATTTAACCTTTTTCCCTCATCTGTGCTTATTTTTGGGACATTTATTTTAGTAAATTAGAGAATTTTTAAGCAGTTTTAAAGTTACAGAGCTTGAAAGTTAATATCTTGCCCCCTTTGACTTCTCTTTTTGCTTTCTTTCTCAGAGCTCTTCCTGCCATGATGCAATGGGTCCGCACTCAGAAGCCAGGAGAAAGTGGCATCAATATTGTCACTGCTGATTTTGTAGAACTTGGCGATTTTATCAGCACGGTCATAAAGCTCAACTATGTCTTTGATGAAGGAGAAGCCAACACTTGATAATGCTATTCGGAGTATGTATGAAAAAGATAGAGCAGACTCGTTGTATTAGACATATTACCTATAAACACAGTGATCTTCCTATTCCACTGTCTCTGATGGGATTAGGGCTGGTAGTGGGTGGGAAAAGGGGGAAAATCATTTCTTCAATGATTACAGTCATACTCTGCATTGCTATAAATATTTCATTTTCCATTCCATGAGCAAATTCTACTTCTAGTGTTAGGGATAAAAATAGTGAATTTTGTTTTTCAGGATCAGTCTTTGTAATGTGTAACTCATGAGTGTTTACTTGATTGTGTTTTCTAATTTCAACCTAGGGCTCCCCTACTATTTCCTGTAACTTTCCCGCTCCCTTTCTTGTTCACTCTTTCTAATCAGATGCTGTATGGGACTCCAAATAATTGAATGCCCGACATAATGTGTATTACATTGTTGTACTGAAAATTATTTCTTTTGTGAGACTTGGTATAGTATTCTGTAGTCATCTGCATTTGGCCAGTCATAGCTAACTGTTGGTCATAGAAAATATGCATCAAATCAATCTCCTACATCAGTGATATTGGAGGCCATAATCAGTGATTTTTGTGTTATAGAAAAACAATAGTGTTTCACAGTATTTCTATTTAAGGCAGCTATAACTATAGTGTAAAAAAAGATTGGACGGACTATGAGCATCAACTCCATAGTAAAAAATGAACAGTGGAGTGAGGGTGACGGATGCTGTTTTAATCCAGCACTCTCTCAAATACCAATGCTCTGCAAGTACACAGTAAATGATACATTAGAACTGTGTTAAAATGAGAACCTCTGAAAAGAATTCTTCAAGTTCTCTTGAACAATTTTATTTTTTTCTAGAAAGGAAGGAAAAAGAAAGAAATGAAAGACCTTGCAAGCTAGCTCTCCTACCAAATTGGGGTTTTCAAATATATAGTTCTAAACCTTGGATTCTGAAAACTATTTTTCAAAAAGCTTCAAGTTTCTAACTTGAAGAAAGAGAAAGGATGGCAGAAGAAATTAGAGCAATGTTTCTGAAATTATGTCCACAAAATCACAAGGATCTATAAAATATCTCTAGGAAATTTCTGAAATATCTGTGACTGGGGCAGATTTCTTTAAAAGTGGCATTGACTCATCCGTTCTGCTTTCCACGCTATTGCAGAGACGATATTAAAGCAGAAGACAAAAGTCTCATACACAGTTTTTGTGGCCTAACTTTTGATAACCCAGATGCACAGGAAAGGTCAATAATATCACGGTCCTGAGTGTTGCATTTCCATAGGTGTCCTTATATTTGACAGCTCTGAAACAATCTTGGAAAGAGCACATTATCCCTTACCTATGTGCCTCGCAGGAATATTGTGGGGAATTTATAAAAATCTATAAATTTGCTGAAATTCTTATATTATGAATTATTTTATCTCCATAATTAAGAATAATCACATCTCAATAGCTTGCTGGAAAATAAACTGCGCAAATTTGGACCATACACAAATAAGAGCATACCCATATCTTCAACAGTATAGTCATTATCTGAAAATAGTACTTAGTAGCAATTGCAGAGAGGGAATACAAATTACTTACAATGAAGTCAAGTTTATGAAAAGTGTAATACCTGTGTAGACCAGGTGCCATGAGTGTACACAACAGGTATGTTTTACATTGCAGGTGTGCATATATATATATATTTCTCATACACAGTATCACCATATAGCCACTCCTATATAGTCAGACATCAGTATAGACAAACACAAACAGATATAGGCACAGTACAGATCTTTTCAAATGAAAATAATATTAAATAATTTAATTGTCAGATTGAGCCCCTTCAAAAGGTACAAAAAGGAGATAAAAGCTTTTAAAAATGGGAGTTGCTGATCATACTGAAACAGTTTCATTAAAATATTATAGCTTTTGTTTTAAATATTCACAAAATATAATTGGTTTTTCTTTCCACTTTCCCTTACTTTGTATTTATATTGTCTATCTCTTTTAGCTTCTCTTTACATGCAATTGAAAATGGATCCTTTTTAAAGGATTATGGATTTATCGAAATTTATGTTCTCTAAATGTACTTTTTTTGTTCAAATTTTCTATTAGTCACCCCTCAGGAGGATGTTTAGCCAAGCACAATTGCAATGATACAAGATTTTAACTTACAAATATGATGAAAAAAAAATCTTTCATCGTATTCTTGAAAAATGAATACAATGTACAGATAACTATTTGGTATGTCCTTGAAGTTAGATGCTCTCCTATAGTGTTTGCTTAGGATTAACTCTGTTGTATTTGTCATTTGGGTGCTGTAAAGAACAAACATGATGAAGCATTAGATTGTGCAGTTTCTTAACTTGGGAAAGTTTTTACTGCCATTAGTGATGTGCACGCTGAAACTCTGTTAGACAAAAGCTACTGTATGGTTTTCATGTGGACGTACAGTACCTACAGCAGGCACTGAGAGTAAGCGGACTTGCCTTAATCTCTAAAGGAGGCCAGAGGTAAACATGAACCATGAGAACATTCACTAAAAGAAATGGTTTGTAAAAGGGACTGGTAACAGATTCCCTCCGGCTGTCTCCTGTTTATTGGCCCTGCCCTGGAGCACACTTGAAGCAGACTGCGGGCCTTACATCAAGAAATGGGGTTGAAAAATGGAGATATGCAATCAAAACATGCCCTTAACCTATGATCCTTGGTCTTGGCTGGACATTGTTTTTCCAGATTTAGGAGCACAAGGGCTACAAATAGGTCCCAAGATGGTAGCAGATACATCTTGGTGCACTTTTTATTTGCATGTTCCTTAAGAATCTATGTCATAAGCCTATACAAGGCAAAAAATAAATATACCCTTTACTCAATCGGCAGCAGAAAATCCAAGAAGTAGGTGGAATGAGGGAAAATAAGAAAAAGGCATCTTGTGTTCAACTTAGTTTTCCTGTCAGTAATTTTAGAGGACCTACATGGTGAAATCTTCTCCTGCCAATATTATTTATGTCTCTCTTATTACTACATAATCATAAGAACGTAGGGAATGAGGAGGCATCCTTTAAAAGCCTTAGGATATTCTATATGGTGACCTCAATATTCACTTTCAGCCATACTGGGAAAACTCACTTTTCATGGAGCGCCACCTAACAGTGAATGTATTAGAGCATAAAGTGTTTGGCATGGTGCACCACACACACACACACACACACACAGACACACACACACACACACACACACACTATTCAAGTTTAAACTGAATCTAATCTTCTGACCTGATTTTGATTTTATTGTAATTTTAAGATCAATATATCCTATTTTAGTAGGCATAAACATAATTCAAGTGTTTGACTATTTGAGAGGAGGAAAATCATGAGAAAACCAGTGAAAAGTGAGGCCATCGGAAATAGGAAATGCTTGATAGTAATATGTAATCTAATTACATTGTCAATCACACTTCCTCTAGAGAATTTAAAGTAGATGAGTATAAATTACGAACACATGCATAAGTTCACTTAAAAATTTTCAAGTCCTTGGAGGCTCTGCCTTCTAGGAAGGGTGATGGGCTCAGGATCTCCCCTGTTAAGATTCCAGACTGCAAAGTTGGAAGTCTCAGGAAATGAGTATTTTCAAGAGTTTTTGGTTCTATAGTTTTACAAATATACAGTGACACAGTTTTCTAAGCTTTGGTTGCTCCACCAACCAGAAATTCCCTAGGCAGAGTGTTCACATTTTTAATTGCTAAGAGAAAATAATGCAAAGTGTCCCTCAGGACATGCTAAATAAGATTTTTAAAGCATTTTACTTTACAGCACGTTAGTCGTTTCAGCTGTATTTCAATGACATCATGGTGTAAATGCTGTATTTGCCATAAATTGCTGGTGGCTCTTGTGTTACATACCATTTTAAATAAAGCTCCAAGTTGTTTTCCCAATGACAACGATAAAACGTTGCATAGAATTTGTAAAACGTGTTGACTCTGTTGAAAATTGTGCAGTTTTTATTTTATTTGTGATACTGTTTTGTAGTTATTAGTTCTAAATGTGTATTTGTATGAGTCAAAGTAAGTGCTTGTCAGTGGTGTGTGTTAGTATGTTGTATCTTATCAAAAATCAAACGTATCCTAAAGAAAAAGGGCACATTCTGACTGGCCTTAATTCAATGCTATTTTTAATTATTGTGGCTACAGTTTAGACTTTAAATACATATAGAAATTATGTTTTTTGAAGGATAGCTTTTAAAAATTTTAGAAGATACATACTTTAGAACTCTCCTAAGTTCCCACAAGCAAATTGCATAGCTTGTGGAGCACCTGTGCTTTTCAAAATTATCAAATATCAGTTAGGTTATTAACTTCACAATATGAATAGACTAAATTCACATTTGCTTCCAACAGCTACAGTAAATCAGCACTGGTCAGGTTTTTCTTCCCAAGACGGAGCTTTGTAATGATAAGTGTGTTGTTTTTTGGCTTCAGTAGTAGGTTTTCCATGAAAAATAGTTCCTCTAGAGCCTCACTTTTGAGAACTGAATCATCTAAATACGAACCACGTTGGTTCTGTGAGAGTCCTTGAAACTCCGTCAGCATGAGGTGGTTCCAACACGGCTCCTTTCACAAAACAAGTCACACTTTCTCTGTCTGCCCAGTGTGTAGTCTAACAATAGAAAACTCATGACTAACTCAGGAATTCACGCAGGTGGCCATGCTTGAAGTAAAAACTCTGTCATCTTCTTTGGACTTCTTATTTTCTACATTTCAAATACTCCTTTTTCCAAATTGTCAAATAAAATATAGAACACTAGTGAAATTCAAATTTCAGATAAATTATAGTTTTAGAGAATCCCCTTTATATTTCATAAGACACACACAAAATATTATTGTTTATATGAAATTCAAAGGTGAATCCTGTATATATCCTGTATTTTCCCTAAATCTGACAATCCTACTTCTATTTCTTCTTTATCTTTTTTTCAGCTGAGCTACCTATGAGAGTAAGCTCTACCTCATCTTGTATATTTCTATGTTAATATGTTTCATGAAAATCTACAGTCATAATACCCCTTATGAAGGAAAAGTATTGGTCTATGGCAGGCCCCACAAATTCTTTATGAAGAATCAAAGGAAAAACACGTGGGATAATCAAGCAAGTATCTTCATTAGATTAATTCTGTCACATTAATTTCCCTTCAGTGGCCTGTTTTGAGGCCGAGTTGCTCCACTAATTCCGTAAAGAACATTCCCTACTAATTAGAACAACCAAAAACATGAAAATATTCTTGAAAAGTGATAGTATCTTCTAAACTAGTACCAGGACTTTTTTCTAAAATTCAGTTTTGTTATCTTTCAGAGATAGAACAAACTAATCCATTATCCCCTCTCACCATTAACGTTTTACCAAAAACATATCTGTATAACTGTAGAAAGTTTTACATAAAAAGGAACACTTCACTGTGGGAAGAAGAGTCTGGTGTGCAGATACAACACTGTCAGTTCCTCTTCAGAGCAGCAGGGGAGGTGGTGGGGACTGAATGTGGTCCCTCACATGAAACGGATGACTGATGGGATTGATAAAGCAAATGATAATTAGTAATATTTATTTATTTATTTGTTTGTTTAGAGGAATTGGAAGCCTCAGCATAAAAGCAATGAGCTCTAATGCTGCCTTTTAGAACTATTTGGAGAGAATAAAACCATGTTGGGGGGCTGGGGATTTAGCTCAGCGGCAAAGCGCCTGCCTGGCAAGCGCAAGGTCGTGAGTTCGGTTCCCGGTACCGGAGGGGAAAAAAAAAAAAAAAAAACCATGTTGGAACTCCTGAAATCAAATTTACATGCTGCTGTTGCCAGCCCTGAATCCTTGATACAGTCCGAATGATGGGTGGAGTTTTAGAACATTTTTGGTAGCTACCTCTTGTCTTGAAATTCTTATGAGTGGTATAGACAACCAAACTCCCTTGATGAAACATTTCCATCTCATGATTTCTGCACACATTTGTGTTGATTTGCTTCATTTCTAAAGGATGGGAATCTTCAGAGCTGGTGACATTTCCTTCCTTAGATACTGGAAATTCACCAGAAGGAGACAGACTTGTGCCTTGTTTTTTTAGGATCTAGTCATTGATACTTTAATAAATGTAGTGTAAAGAAAATCCATGCCTACAGTCTGTATAGCAAATGTGAATTTTTGATAAGATTGTGTTCTTAATGTAAAAACAGTTTCTTTGTATCCAGTGAAATTCCTAATAAAGTCCTGGTAGCAACTATCTTTATGGCTTTTTCAAATTTTTATTCACCTATGCTTCATTATAAGCCCCCAATGGAACTTTTAAATAGGACATCTGAAAAAAAATCCTTTTTAAAACCATGAATCATTGTATTAGCATTTCCTCCATGACAAATATATTTGCCACCAATAAAATCAATGGCATTAGTGCTTTCACTACATCATAGCTAGCTATTTCTGATGTCTAATACACTTAGCTTTTGCTACTATCACAAATAAGACCCCATCAGTGTAGTAGCAATGTACTATCTTACTCTATTAATATTATAAAACCCCATTCCAAATTAAATGTTATGGTGAAGAAAATCTCTTTTTGCTGAGTCTTCACTGTACCTGGTACCTGGTATGTTATTTCAGAAGCAAAACTGCCTTTGTATTGCACCAAATAAATCCTGTCCGGTGGGTTCAGATCATGCTTTAACATAAAATGTAAGAATTTCACAGTATTATAAAGACTACAAGAACTTTAAAAGGGTTTAAGATTCTTTGGTGTTGAACTTGGACATAAGTCCCCCAAAGCTTCTACTTGACACTTGAGGATTTATATTATAAAGCCGTAATGATTTCTATACTTATGAATAACTATGTCTAGAAATAGTCTTGACATGATTCTACCTGTGTCTCCTAATATAAGACTTCTACAGTTTCATTCAGCAAATTTTTGCCATCACTATGTGAGAGGCTCCCTAGTAAGCACAAAGCATTTCTAAAGGGTTATTCAGAAAAATGGATGAGGCACATCCTTTTGTGGTGGTTTCTTAGCAGATCTAATATTTAGTACTATTTGTCTCCTTAAAGAAGCAAATAAGCATTCCTTTTTTGAAATAAAAGATGTTAAAATTGTTCAAATGCAGGTATCCCTAAGACTCTGAGAAGAAATGTTGAATTTCTTTTCTCTCTCTCTCTCTTTCTTTCTTTCTTTCTTTCTTTCTTTCTTTCTTTCTTTCTT